CAGTGGGAGGTATTACTAGTTACTTCAAAACATCAGTCAGTGCGAGGGTGGTCGTCCTCCTGTCGTAGCGGCGGACTTCAAGGTGAGCAATCCATGCCTCCATTCGATCAATACCTTGGGGGGTTTGCTAGTCTACTTGAAATTTTTCTTGGAGTTTTTGTTAAGGCGTTTGGGCGAGCTAGCCACATATGCTTTGCACTATTTCAGGCCCTGACGAAGGCGAAGCAGCCGAAACGTTGGCCACATAAAGTATTCAATCTTGAGAGGCTTGAACAGGACGTATCTTTACGGTATTGAGTGACTTTTTTGAGAACGCCGAATTTAGGTGAAAAGCTTGGATGAGTCGGTCTTTGGAGTTTGCTGAACTGAGATAACGAGACCGATTTTTGTCACTTTTCGACGCCAGATTCATCACAATGATCACTAAGATTATCTGACACGCTGCTATTGGACTGAATTTGTTGTCCCTCGCCTGGCTAAGTGGCTAGACCTATCATATTAAGAAAAATGTTCCAGAAACTGCTTTGAGAAAACAGTACAAGCATTTTTTTGGGAAAATATGAGGTAAAAGTCTCAAACTAGTACATCTGACATGTATACTTTCAAAATAAACAGACTGGCTCGCTATGTTCTTATGGAAGGAAAACGTGGAAATAAACAAATAAAAAGATATCAAGGGAAAACTCGAACCAAAGCTTTCGTACTACCCGAACAAGCACGACTGGTCACCTTACACTCACAAGTGGTAAACCCAGTTGTTGAGAATCTGAGAATCGGTCGCTTCACAAAGCAACTTAACTGTTGACGAAGTAGTAAAGTTACCTTAACCATTCTCCAACTAGGCCAAATCTGAATAGGTTCAACCTCATGGGGCGTTTGGCAGCTAATACCATATGTAGAAAGCGTCATTTGAAGATGGATAGACTCTGCCAACAGAGCTATCTGTACAACGGGATCGCCTTCCATGCTTCCCTGAAGGTCTCTTTGAGTGCTGAACACAGTGAGTGATAGTAAACCATTTACTTGAAACTCAGAATGCCGTTTGAACTGCATAGGGCGTTGCGAAGCGGGTAAATGCCGGTTGATAGGATCCAAGTCTGATTTATGAATGAGGCCCTGACCTTAAGTCGACAAGCAATAAATATAGATTTATCTCTACAATTAAATGAATATAAAACGTACGGACAAGTAATAGGACTATGTAGACGGCATTGCTCCATAAATGATGTCCAAATTCCTGAGGATTCACCGGATAAAGATCCGTTGAATTTGGATTTGCGCGTTCGCGGTCCATGTAGCATTCGTCAACGCAATAGCATTCAGGAACCACCATTCCTCCCGTCACTACATTAGGTTGTTTTTGAGCGATTCGAAAAGGAAAANAAAATCAAAAATACCTTCGTCGTCATTAACCAGCAGATTTTGAAGTTTTTCGTAATATTTATCAGCATGATCCTGGTCTCCACGAAAATAGGCTACAATTCAAACATATCAGAAACAAAAAAAAAGATGTATATCGATGAAATGAGTACCGCAACATGCACAAATCACAGCCGAAAATGCTAAGGATGGATGCTAAAATTTTTAGCAACCCGTCGCAACTTCAACTTTTCAGGAGAAAGTCACTTCAGAAATTTCGAAACGGAAAGGAACTGTGATACCTTCTCTAGTCACTGAAAAAATCTTGGAACTTTTTATAAAGTACCTGTTAAGCTCAGGTATGCGAAGAACATCGGAAATTGGCTTTCAACACCATGGAAACGCGATGTCTCATGTTCCTCATAGTGAATTCGAGTGTTGTCTTCGAGTTCACAATGATACCCATCTCGGAGGAACCTGTGTGATAACGATTCAGAAGCTACCTTCAGTTAAGGAATAGTTCTTGAATAGGAAGTTCTTGAATTAGAGCCTTCTCAGAGCGATGGTTAGCCAATGCCTTCATGAAAAAAATGCCCGCAAGCAATTGCCACCAAGGGCACACTCATTGAATCTAACTTGTTTGAAGGATTCTCGATGCCGGTCAAGGGATGGCTTGTACATGAGTATCGATTCACTGGCAATGAGAGGGTGGCATAGTCACTGAGTGCTCATTCTTCCCCGTAAACTACACTGAGTAAGTGTTTCAAACTCAGGGATTTATACATATATTCAAAAATTATGATTCGAAACATGACTGAGAAATGATTGAAGTGTAAAAAAAGTACAGTACCTTCGAACACCGAATTTCCCTTCTAGTCGACGCACACATTTCTGCACGGTTTTCTCGATTAGCTGCTCATTATGAGAAGCAAATGCAGGCCATCCTACGGCCATGAGGAGTGCAGCATCAGTGTTCTTGAAAGGAACAAATACACTTTCCGGCTATTTTTTCTTTTTTCGATTGCGTGTTGCTTTACATCAGTAATGTTGACTGAGTGCCAAGCCTTCGACCTAGTACATTCAATACAGACTATCTCACTATGCTAAAACATACCTTCGAATTGCTCTCTCGCGGTAGAATTGTTTCAAAGGTTGTTCGGTTTCTGTTGTGTCCATCAATGTCCACATAAATTACTGAAGCACTGTGTCCAGATGCTCCAAAAACGTTAAAACCATTAATGGCTTCGAGAGCAGCCTTCAATTTATTGAATTCAAAAATAGTGCACAATTTCAGGAAATACATTCTCTATAAAATAGCTGAAGACAAAAAACAAAATACCTACCTTTACCATACCCAAACTGCTTGCGTGGATCTCAGTTTTTCCGTTGTTGTAGCGGGTACCTCTTTCCCACATACCGAAATCAGGGGTTCGGTAGGTTCGTTCTATGTAAAACACCAGGTTTTGCACGAAGTTGACCTCGTGATGAGTGTAAATGATCTTAAAGAACCACGTTCAGTAACACCAATGCAAAGAAATACTGGAAATTATTAATTTCCTTCGAGAGCGGTGGTAAGCATTTAACTGCAAACGAAGCTCACGGAAAAATACTGTCCCTATTGCTTACCTTTAGAACTAAAAAAGTCAATATAATTTCACTCCCGAGAAAAGGCTAGCTGGAAACTAACCTTGGCTCCACTAGCAATCATTTCAACCAGAACCAACAAATACAGTGCAACCAAATCCATTTGCATATGACCATACAGACTCTCATTGGGACGATTCAAACACATCCCAGTGTGAAGATCGAATCTAGCGCGAAGTGCGTGTTCCGCAGAATTGTTGGATTTGAACGCATTCAGCTATAAGTTTAAACAGAATGACTTCGGGGTAAGTTATAACTGGAATATGATGAATAACTCAAATAACTAACGCTTTCACTTTGTTGCATCCAACAAAATAGGATACCCCGCATGGTTTTCACCGCAGACTGTCGAAGTTCCGTTTGTCGGCCACGTTCATCGTCTAGTCTCCTAAACATCAAAGTGAATGTTCTGGTGCTCAACCGCTCAATTTTTGAGATAAAGGGCTCACAACTTTGACTGAATCGCTTTTATACACTGAACTTTTGATTGAAAATCGGTTTTACTAGTGTTCTATCGTTTCAAAAATCTACCTGGTGATCTAAATTTNTTTACAAATGTGAATAACTAGGCAAGAAAGTTTGATGCATACTTCAAAGTCACGCAAATCCTCGATATTTCCTGCTATTTCCCGCACCTTCATTGAATCAGCACAAAAAGGCTATTTCGCACTGGCACAATCAAACTTTTTTAGCCCAAGGTACAATTAAGGAACGTCAGAATCCACTCACTTATACGCAATCGAACATGCCCAGCTTGCAATTGCACAATAAATACTGTCCTTCACATAGCCAACATCACGATCTCTCGAGTACCTCGGAAAGAGGCCAGTGGTTACACTTTGGTAATCGAGTATCAAATCGTGAACTGGAAAGGCGAATTGACAGGATTACTCAATGTACTCAACAATAAGACTTACCTATACCATAAATATGGTCAATTTTGGAATCAACAGTGTCTTCCTCAGTTTTCGAACGTTGAAATGGGGTGAGATACGCTTGGGTTAAACGACGTAACTTGAGGCTACCTGGATTCATCCGCCTTCGATGGGCTAGTGTGCTCGCCATACTGCCTGCAAGTAACCACTATTTTTTGGGGCTACGCTCCAAATCTTAATACTAGGTACTAGAAATTGGTATTTCCAGTAAAACGGAGACTAGAGTGTAATAAAATTGAGTAAGAGGTGGAAATGTATGAAGAAACAGCTATACTGAAAGTTAGAAATACAAATTTGCAATTACAATCATGAGAGTAGTAAGAAAGAACCATTTGTCTAGGCACGGACTTAGGATTTTTTCGCTGCAAATAGGGAAGTCGCGAATGAGCTTTGTGAAGAAGTTTGTTGTACACATTTGAACAGACCAAAAAACTCTTTTTTCAAGAGAAATAGGAAGAAGAGAAACAGCGCGTCATGGGGCTTTTCTTTCTTTTACGTCTATAGTCCATGGAATACATCTCAACTGCTAAATAAGAAGACCTGAGCGGCTGACATTACAGGAGGCAATGGATAGCGGCATTACTGCAGTTTAAACGTAAACAAACTTTTTGAATAGTAATTTGAAAAGCTACAATACAAACACCACATAAGTAAATCCCAAGATTGAGAATGTGTAGCAACGAGGGTTTTGAAGTTGTAATTACGCATTAGCGTGAAGGAGGACGTGCCGTCTGCATCGGCTTATCCTTGCATCGACTGCTGCTACCACTGGTTTCAGGGCTGTTGTTAAGCGCACAGGGCTTTTTTGCCACTTTGTCAGTGCCCTCTTGAGCAGACGCAGTTGTTGTGTCTCTACTCCACAGCGAGGCAACGGGACGCAAAGCCTTCTCTTCTTCTAGAGCCGCAGTGTACTACCGCATGTGATTGTTGCATGACTATATCGTGAGCGGCGAGTTATTGTCGGCCTGGCCTAGAATGTCTCTGAAAACTATGGATGTAGCATGTACTGGGATTTCCCATGCCCATTATTCACGTGTGTTATTCCCCGTGCAGTATCGACCAACGACCATTTCCTGTATATGGATTTAATATTCTCTTTCTCGACTATTATGGTTTAATGTGATCACAATATATAGCTCTGCACACCTGTGTGTGGAAAATAACACGCTCCAACGCAAAAGCAGCGGCGCCGACGCTAAAGCAGCCCACGTGCGACGAGCGCTCAACGCCCACCGCTTAACACTCAACGCTCTACTCTAAAAGGCCTAATGGTGCCATATGCAAAGTTGACGTTGACAAAAACGGAAGCGTCACTGTCTTCGAGCTAGATCAATCAAAATTTTCATAGGCGTCGAGGAAAGGCTGCAATAAGGATCACGCGCGTTCGTGCGACAATGGGTACTTTCAGAGTTCAGCGATATGCGTTGTTCCAACCGACGACCGACCGACCGGCCGATAGTGTTGGTGGCCACGCGCTGACAACGCAGAACAGCTTGTGTCCAGGGTTGCGTGAACGATATCGAACGGTGTCAAGGCGTGGCAGTAGCGTGGTCCACCAGTCGGTGGGTTAAAACAATGCACGTCGTTCGACTCTGAAAGCAATGATATCGTGCTTAAGCATCTCAGTCAGTGAATGCGACATAGCTTGCTCCAGTAACAAATAATGCCCCAGTAAAACGTCACGGTAGTTGCGACGGTGCGCAATTGCAGACACTACCATGGTGCTTTTACGTAATTCCGCGAAACTTCATAAGCTTTTTTTCTACCCATTTATATTTGGCATGTTTAATGGCATTTATTTGTACAATGTTCTGAGACAGTATCATATCTAGTAGAAAGTTCATCCGGTATAAAAGTCTCTAAGACCTCCGTCTCATTTGTAGATGACGGCTATGAAATTACAATTGAGGATCGTTCATGGAAAGGTAACGATATGGTCTGTGATTACAGCAAAGCTGTTTTATTTTGTAGGGAGAAGGCATGATATATATTTCACCAACTCAATCAGTTTATTCAAAGAAGCAATTTCCTCAGAATATTTTACCACCCAACCACTTGTTTTTCTCATATGCATGTTCTCCATTTGTATCGATTTCTCGAAATATTCTGCTTTCATTTTCATGTGGTTTTTCCCGTATCTTCTCATTGCTTTCGATTATGAAGACACGTGAAGAGTGTTGTGGCCTTTTCCCACCTTATCGGGACGCTTTGTATGTAAGTGCGAAGGAACTCTAATTAGTGGACGTCTAGTCGTTAGTCTTCAGGAGGCAGGGGCAAGACCTAGAAATTGCGTAGCAATTAGAGCACATATACCCAATGCGTGACGAGCGTGACCGCCAAGAGCAGCGGCTGAGGACCGTTTCTCGAGGGCCAAAAGCTAGAAATAGAGATATTCTAGTTATTCTTTGTTGGGACAGACAACTAACAAAGAATACCACGTGCTCACGCGGATCATCGCAGAATCCGATTTTCAGATTGCATTCGTAAGTTTCGAATTCTCTCACAAGTAAGGATTTCGTGCTTACTGCGAGCAGTCTGAAGTTCTATACCGGCTGTCGATTTGTCATAGTGCTTTTTCATTTGCTATTCGAGGTCCAAGTGTGCTACTGTCCGCCATCTTCTGTATTTTTACCATTGAAAGCTCTTATGGTATTCCTTGTCTACTTCTCAGGAAATGGACCTACTCAACACTCTTAAGGAGGAGATGGCTAGAAAACGCAAAAGGATTGCAGAACTCGAAGTAGTTGTGAGTTTTTTTTTCGGTTTCTTCTTATCTTTGGGAATCGTAGAAGTTTCCACGCTATACGATTTCGATTAATAGATTGTAAAGCAGTGGAATGAGGCTTAGATGGAGTGTGCAGCACAGTGCCGCGTTAAGGCACTAGGAAGCTGTGAAAGGCTGCTTTCATAGACCACGATTTGGCTCGCGACCAGTCGCGCGACCGATCGCGGGCCGTCGTGGACAATGAAGGCAGCCAAAAAGATCTATTACGGGTTAATGGAGGAATTGTGAGGTTGGCGAAACACGTCTCCTTATCAATCTTCCCACAGTTAGAGGGG